AATAATCCAAACAAACGTGCTCACATCCAACCATGCTATCCTTTTTTACCATATACCTTATATCCCTTTCTCATCCCCCTTTCCATGTCCTGTTTCCTGTGGTTTGCGCCCATGAATCCACATATTTCTCCTGTTTACTGTACCAGCTGTGCGCCGAGTTCCTCACCCCATTCGCACATACCCTTCCGTGTCGTAGAAGACAAGTGATACCCTACCCTTGTATGCCTAGCCAGTCATCCTATTTCTTTCCTGTCTTCTCGTTCGCAGCCGCCATCAACTTCTCCCAGTTCGGCTCGGCACCGCCCGACTTGGCGTTTGCCTCCCAGAATAGGGCCCAGAACCTAGAGGTGAACGGGCGACGCTGGCGACCATCAAGCGAAAAGAACTCATGTTTCTCTATGTATACCAGTTGGCCTGATGGGCCGAGACGAATGACCTCGATACCGAGAGAGTTTCCGCCTCGACAACTTTCCCTACCCCCCTGTACTTTTATCACCTCGTATTCTTCATCAGACTCAACCAGAACAGTGGGCTGCTTCGGTTGTTGTGCCGTGCCGGCCCATATGTTCTTGAATAAGTTTTTGTAGAAGGTGAATAATGTGCGACTGGGCCGCGCCGCGTTGTCGCCGTCCTGGTGGGCCAAATAGAGGTCCTCCTCGGTTTGGGGGGCGTGTTGTTGGGTGGCCTTCTCCTCAGCTTCGCGTATCCTGGCATATTGACCGTACGTGAAAGGAGAAAGCTCGTCGGTCCCCAACTTCCGGTGGGCACGCTCGAGAGAACCAGGCCTCATTTTCAACTCCTCGAGATCGTCCCGCCTTCCTGGGGGCATCCATTCGGTCAGTGGTGGGATCCCTTGTTTGCGCAGCTCAATCCATTCGCTCATCGTCCGTGGCGAGCGGTAAACCAGGACTGGCTCGCAAACAGGAAAATACACCTCACTGATCTGAAATGCCTGTAACCGGAGAAGGGGGGAGGTGCGGCTAAGATCCGCAAGGGACTGGTCCTCATCGTCCTCATCATCCTCAAGCTGCTTCATGGGCCGTCCGCTGCTGGCGAAGAGGAGATCCTCAAAGGCATCAAGCCAACTGAATTCAACTGGTGACCGTGACCCCACCCCGTTGGGTGTCGGCTTCCATCCCAGCTCGTTATCGAGGCGTACGGGCGAGTACGCCGACAATCTGAGGAAATACCTCCAGGCAAGATCGTAAGCGGGAAGGTCGCCTCCCCGTAGTCCGTCTAGGAACTGCTCGACGTTGTGATCGACATTTTGCCAGCTGTCGTTGTCGGACATCTTGTTACTCGATCGGTTCGATCTCGTATTGGACAGTAGCAGGGTCCAATCCTGTACGTGTAAAATCGCGAGATCTGAACCGGGACCGTGGACGGGGAAAATCCTGGTGTCCAAAGGATGTGCGGTTGTGGTTTTGAAATCAAGGGAGGAATTCGATGAATCGATGGAGGGGGGACTGGCAGACAGGGGCCGGCCTATTAGCTCCCCAAGGTACGTACCTTGCCCGCCGGCCGGAGACTCGCGAGACACACTGCCGGGCTGCCCCGCTGTAAAATCCCCATGGTGTCTTGGGGAGTGACCAGCTTATTCCCTGGAAATGACATGGATCCTGGCACAGACGGCACGGCTCGAGCCAAACACCACTAAAACTTCATGATGCGCCATTAGCGAGTATCTCCTGTTTTCCAACTTTCAGACTCTGCTGATCTCTTGTTTTCCTTTTGCCTTGATACCCTTCATTACTGTACACGACTCCAACTTTCTTTTTGTATCGGCGACAAGCGGAGGACACGGCCCGAGCTGTCCGACCACCTAACCACTGGACCGAACGCTAGGCCGAGCGAGCAGCTCTTCGATTTCTAATACCTACCAGGTACCTTGGCGTGCTTGGGTAGCAAGCGACAGCCGACCGACAGCCTACCTACGCGTCGTACCCCGTCGACGACGCCGATGACCCCCCTTAACAGCCTACGATACCGGTGCATATGTGCATATCTGGGGACAACGACGAGAGTTCCTTGAACCGCCGCTGAAACTTGTCAGCAAATTCGCAACTCGATAAACATATCCGTATCGTCCTGCCTCAATCCCCTCCGCTACCGAAGCAACCCGACGACGCCCGCCGACGATGCATCTCCCCCTAGCGGACAACGACCTCCCCGACCACGGCGGCGGTAGTGGTGGCCACGGGCACGACGGCGACAAGGACCAGCTGCAGAACTGGTCGTCGCTGATCGGGATCATAACGGCAATCTGCGGCAACGTGCTCATCGCTTTGGCGTTAAATGTCCAGCGCTACGCACACATCCGCCTGCACAGGCGACGCGCGCGAAACCGGGAGCGCGCGAAACAGGCTATGAAGAATGCTGCCACCCACCAGGGGTACGGAACGGCAAACACACCGGATGGCGACCTGCCGCCCTCGGCAATAGCACGGCGGAATAGTGCAAGACCAGAAGAGACGGAACCGCTTACCGCGCGACGGGGCGACTCGTTCGGATCAACAGCGTCAGGAGACGAGTCGGTGTACTACTCTGCGGAAGATGACGACAGTAATAGCAAGGCTGCTGGGTCAAGTAGTAGCTACCTGAAAGACCCGTACTGGTGGTCGGGCCAGGTGCTGATTACCGTCGGCGAGATGGGCAATTTCCTGGCGTACGGGTTCGCGCCGGCGTCGATTGTCTCTCCGTTAGGCGTCGTGGCGCTAGTGTCGAACTGTGTTATTGCGCCCATCTTTTTCAAGGAAGTGTTTCGGCGGCGCGATTTCTTTGGCGTGATTGTCGCTGTCGCCGGGGCGGTGACGGTCGTGCTGAGCGCCAAACAAGAAGAGACGAAATTAGGTCCGCACGAGGTCTGGGACGCTATCACGACGACGGAGTTTGAGATTTATGTTGGTGTGAGCTGTGCGCTGATTGCGCTGCTCATGTGGCTGAGCCCACGGTACGGCAACCGGACTATTTTGATTGATTTGGGGCTTGTCGGGTTGTTTGGTATGTTCCACCAACCGGTCTATATGGGAAGTATTGAGGTTTGCTAACGGGGAAGGAAAAGGCGGTTATACTGCGCTTTCGACCAAGGGCGTGTCGTCGATGCTGTCGTCGACGCTGTTTGGCGCGTTCACGACACCTGTCACCTACGCGCTGCTGTTTGTGCTCTTGTCCACGGCCGTGATGCAGGTCCGCTACGTGAACAAGGCACTACAGCGGTTCGACTCGACGCAGGTCATTCCGATCCAGTTCGTGCTGTTCACGCTGTGCGTTATTATTGGCAGCGCGGTGCTGTATCGCGACTTCGAGCGAACGACGCGCGAGCAGGCGGTCAAGTTCGTGGGCGGCTGCTTGCTGACCTTCTTCGGCGTCTTCCTTATTACTAGCGGCAGGCCGCGGCAGGATCCTGAGGAAGATACGCTTTCTGATGCAGAGGGCATCGAGGAGACTATCGGTCTGTCGGAGCAAAGCCCCGGTACACCACAGGCACCGCATCGCCGAGGTAGTGACGCAGTGAGATCACGGCGGTCATCTAGGGCGTCGCGGGTCAGCTTCAAAGAGTCGGCGGTTAATCGACCGCTGGCTATTTTGGCGGGCACAGGTTACCCCAGTAAGAGGGTTCCTCCTGCAAAGGGGGCGAGTCTTGCTGAAGAGGAGAGCGAAAACTCGCCGCTGCTGGACAGTATTTGGAGGGAAGCACCACCCCAGGACCAACAGCAGCATCCGGGTCTAGGGCCTCACACGATATCGTCGGACTCGGTCATATCTACACCGATTTCGGATGGAGAACTACAACAATCAACAGCAGCATCGACGACACCAGTCCAGCCGACTCTACATATCCCGCAAACGAACAACATACACCACTCCGCCACTAGCGGCACCACCATCACGCCGGCAACAGAAAGACCAGTCACCCCCAGAGCACCGGCCAGCGGTTCGCGTCCGCACTCGCACCACTTCAGCGGGCCAATGTTTACGCCCTCGCCGTTCTCGTCGACCGTCAGCGCCGTCGTGGCCGACAAGATCCTCGCGCATCTGGATAGCAGTTCCAGTAGCCCGACGACTCGGCGGATGATTACCGCGCGCCGCAGCAGGCCGGGGCTGAGGAATAGTCTGTTTGTGCCGAGCGATGAGGTCGTGGAGGACTACGAGACTGATCAAGACAGTGATGAAGAAAGCGATTTATTAGCGAGGGCGCAGAGTGCGGTTGAGGCTACTGGTAGTCTATTTGGGGAAGGTGGTGCTACTGGTGGGGAGCAGGAAAGAAAAGGCGGTTTTAGGGGTAGGGCGAGGAGTTTGAGTCACACTCTGGGGGAGCTTTTTGGTGTAAGTAGTGGTGGTAATGGAAATGGAAAGAGGAAGAAGATGGGGAGTCGGAGGACGACGGGGACGATGACTACTACTGCGTCGGATCTGGAAGATGATGATAGGATAGCGGCGGTCAGGGCGGTACGGGCAGAAGACGGCAGGTTGATTAATGTTGCTGCGGATAGGAGTACGGAGACTTTATAATACCCCGAATTTGGAGGAGGGATGGTACCGGGGACTTGCATGGGTGGGGTTTAAGATACCGAACTTATTTGAACAAGAGCAAAATACTATAATTCGAATATAATCTGTAACTGGCCATACTATAGGTTATAAATGTAGGTATGTGGTTTGTTTGAGTCGCGGTGTGTTTTGTGCGTGTCGTGATGGAAAAAGGGGTAACGACCGAGGTACAATCCCATGGTCCGAGGAAAAGGGGCTTTGTTGGTGAGACAAATAAAACAGACACAGCAAAAATATCTTTGTTCCACGGGATTGATGCCTTATTGATGCAATTATGGATTGGCACCGTAATACCTTATATTTTCTGCTAGTACAATATCAACGACCTTGCAAGGCAAACTCTGTCTTATACTTGCGGTTCACCGCCTTCTCGGCAATCTGACATCTCCGCATCGTGCATGACAGATTCTTCACGCTTCTGACGGCAGACCCATCCATCAAACAAATAAGCCCGCATGGCTCAGTGGTAGAGCGCATCACTAGTAATGGTTCCTTGCGAAGTTAACTGGGTCAATGATGAGGTCGTCAGTTCGATTCTGGCTGTGGGCATTCTGTTTCAAGAGGGGGTGATCAGTTCCGAGGGGGATTAAAGTTTTTTATTTTGGATATTCAAATACCCAAGATATTTACTGGCACTCCGTTAGGTAGTGGTTGTGAATATTCTTTTACAGTTAGTACTTACTCTCTCAGAGTGCATGCAGTATCTATCGGTACGGGATTGTCGATGAAATCCTCGATGCTTTCAGAAACTGAAATGTTAAGGGACCAAGGGACCGAGTCGTTTTGGTGGAGCACTGCGCCGATTATGTAAGTTGCGGGGTCTGGCCTGTGCGCCGCCAGCGTCGTCATTCTTGCCCGGGCACGCAGGGAGCCAAGCTGATCTGAATTGCTGGGCTGCTGGGCGGGTGCCCTGCATGGTTGCTGCAATGGGAAGCTCGGCCCACGCAAACACCTCAAGACTCCAAGAACTCCAACCTCACTCATCCAACTGCCACTTGCCCGTCTTACACCTCGACACCCAGACGAAAACAACAGCCGTTTGCTACCCGCGTCGAACGAACTTGCAGCAGCATATATATGCAGCCCTACACTCATTGAAGCTGCCAAACTGTGCCCAGTCGCAACTGACCGCCCAACAAACCTGGAACCCCGCCTGCCGTCCGCGGTCCCACGTCTTCCATCCCATCCCAGAGATCGTCCACCTCGAGTTTGAATTTCTGTTTACCGACGACCTCTTCCCCGCCTACGCAACGTTCACAACACACCTGTAAATCTTAGATATCCTTCCTCACTTGCCCTCACCGCACACCCAGATTCACGCGCATTCATTGTCACCGTATGCCAACCTTCGATAGGGAAACCAAACTGTAGCAAGCAAAATGTGGAACGACGAGGATAACAACCCCTACGGGGGAACCTTCGAGCGTCGAGACTCCTACACATCTTCCGCACCTGGACAGCCATCGTCTCCCACTACTCGTGACTGTGAGTCCGGCCTGCTATCGCCCGTTCTCTTCTTTCTTTCCTTATTTGACGAGCTGTCGCGCCCCCCACGCCGGCATGATGGTGCATCCGGAGGACCTTAATGATGTACCCCTAAGCGAACCTTCTGACGATTACAATCCCGACTGGGTGGTTATAGATCCCCGCTACGATGCTCCCCAGACACCGTCCAGCCCCAGCGAGACCGATGCCCCGCCGGCGCCTAGCTACGCACGAGGATCGAGTGACGCCGATACCGACGAGGAGGCCGACGACAATGCTAACGGCGAGCTGGTGCCTCGGCGCAAACCTGGCGGATATGATAGCCGCGTCGAGCAAATGCTCTACGAGAACCCCGAGCTGCCCATATTGATCACCGACGCGGGGAAGAGTTCAGAAAGCGGGGGACGATACATTGTGTACACCATCAAGACCGGAGTAAGCGCCGGTGGACTGTCTTTGTCTGGGAAGGAACTGACAAAGTATTGTGTTTGTAGGAGCTTATTGTTCGCCGGCGATACTCTGAATTTGCGTCCTTGCGAGATGCCCTTACGAGGTTACACCCCACCCTCATCATTCCTCCCATACCGGAGAAGCATACTATGGCCGACTACGCGGCCAATCCGACCAATGCGAAGCAGGATCAGCAGATTATCGACCTAAGGAAACGCATGCTGGCAGTCTTTCTGAACAGGTGTCGGCGGATGGAGCAGGTTCGGACTGACGGGGTTTGGTGGAGGTTTCTCGACCCCAACTCTAGCTGGGTAGGTCTTGGATTACAAACACTTATCATTATGTGGCTAACACAATGCATAGACCGAGGTCCTCCACTCACACCCCGTGGCATCAATTCCCAAGTCGATCATGAAGGCGCCTCCACTGGACACAGCCAACCCAACCCCGGGACACAACTTCCTCCCCGTTCCTGCCAGTTCGGCGCGACTCAGGACACCCGCTGGTGCAAATGAGGGTTCCGGAGCCGGCGCGCCTCCTCTTGGCCGTTTCCCACCTGATTCCAGCTCACTCAGCGAGCAGGAGCTGGACATCTACTTCACCAACTTTGAGGCCTCCATCAAAGAACTGGAACAGCAGCTCTCGGGTCCCATGGAGAAGGTGAACCGGAGGACACTAAACCACCTGTCTTCGTTAGCTACGGATCTCTCGGAGCTCGGCGCGCGGTATAATGCGTTTGCGCTCTCCGAGCCACCAAATTCAGATCTTGCCCCAGCGATCGAAAGAATCGGCCAGGCTGCAGATTCGTCCTACATTGCCACGGAGGAACTATCCGGTTCACTGGGCGCCAGCTTCGCGGAGCCCATGAGGGAAAATGCGCAGTTTGCAGGTGTGGTCAGGAACGTACTGCGGTACAGGGTCCTGAAGCGGGTTCAACAAGACATGACGACAGACGAGCTTAACAAGAAACGAGCGCTTCTAGACCAGCTAGAGCGAAGTGAGGCGGAAGCTAGGAGGATTGATCAATACCTGAGCAGCAGCCAGCAGATTCAACCTCCGCGGAGATCCGCCAGCACGAGAGAGCCGCCGACAGCCAACCAGCATCGTAGGGACGGTAGTGGAGGGGACGACACGGCGTCGATAGACTCAGACTTTCCGCCAACACATGGCGACTTCTCATCGGCGCCGTCTGCTATTATCGGGGCGCCGGAGAGGGCACCGGGTGGAAGTCCGGGACATAAGAAGGCGGCCAGCGGGAATTCGATTACAAACAAGATCTTTGGGCCGATCCGGCATGCCGTCCAGGGCGTTGTGGACGTTGATCCTGAGCGGACACGGCGTGACACGATTGGCAAGACGCGCGAGTCTATTGGACAGCTGGAACTGGCTCAGGTTGCCTCGGCCCAGGATGTCAAGGATGCGAGTGCGAGTGTGTTGAAGGACCTGAAGAGGTTCCAGCGAGAGAAGGAGGATGATCTCAAACGCTACATGGTATGTTGCCCCTATCTTTCCAGGGATTTGGGTCTGTTACTGACGTCGTGAATTACAGCTGGCATATGCCAAGAGCCAGATCGAGTGGGCAAAGAAGAACAAGGAGACATGGGAAGAAGCGAGGGCCGAAGTTGATAAGATCGAGGAATCGTAGGGCAGTTTTTACTCGTGCAAGTCGGATCAGGATAGTATTTACTCGTGTGAGGAGTCGGATCCTGAGTGGCCATGCAGGGACAATGGGTTATGGCACATTTGATGTTGTGCTGGGTTTACTAGCGGTTGTTTTTATATTCTAATACGTCGGAGTCTTTCTATCGGCGTCAGCTTCTGCTTCCACATGGAAAGGTAGCGAATGAATTAGGTACATTAATAGGGTAGGCTGGAATTCGTATAGAGTTTAGTTAATCCAGTTCAGCCATTAATCGCATGGGCTCATGGTACTTCTTCATCCGATGTGTGATCTTGAATCTGAATTTTGGATAGCATCCAGACCCTCGGGTCGATTGAAGTCTGACAGACTGTATTGGTTTAAAGCGCACTGTATCGCATACCGTACGTACCATTGTGAGTTGGCTGATAAGATAAAGAGAGACCCTGGCTCGTACTTAAGGTACTTAGGTACCTTGTAGCTTCTTAGACCTAGCCCCACTAATCCGTATTGGTAACCCGTAAGGTACGGATTACAGACCATAAACTTTGAGCCGTCCGGAAGGCCTGAAGTTCTTCCTCTTGATATCCTCCTTACACCAGCCAATTGACAGACCCTGCAAAAGCAGAATCACTCCATTTGTGCACTTAATTACCACGACATTTTAGGCAGCAGTCTTAAAGTTTCGGCAAACTTTTGCAAAGGATTAACAGGACGTCATCACTTTTGGCAGAGTTTGGCAGATTTACGGGTTTGGTATTTAAGCCGTTCTGGAGGGGCCAGAAGTTGTTCCTCTGGGCATCATCCTTACACCAGCCAATTGGAACTTTTTGGTCTGATTGTCGCGGCCCACGTCTTTCAAGCTCCAACAAACCATCAAGGTCGTCGCACTTCTACTTCTTTACTCCCACCCGTCCACATACCAGATCGCTCGCTCGCTCGCTCACTCACTCACCACTCACTCACCACCAACGCCGCACGCACGCAACTCACTGCTTTAAAAACGAACGTCAGCTTGGTGATTGCGTGCGAAGGAAAAAGGACGCGACAATGGACCCCCATTCACATCCCATCCGCGACATCGCGGAACCGGGAATTAAAGTCTCGGACTACCAGGCCGTCAAGGCTCTCAGGGAAGAGGTCGCCCGACTCCTAAAGCGTAACTCGCAAGGGTTTCCGGGCGCGCAGCCCGTCAGTTTTACAAGAAGGCATCTTGATGAGCTACGCAAGGAGGAGTATGCCCCCTCCCCCCCCCCCCCCGCCGTCGCCCCTCCCTACCTCCCATACTAATTTTACTTGGAAATGTGTGTAGTTACTACGTCTGCGAAAAATCCGACGGCATCCGCTATCTCCTCTATCTCACACAAGACAAGTACACGGACAAAGAAACGCACTATCTGATCGACCGCAAGAATGATTACTGGTACATACACCAGCACAATCTACATTTTCCGCTGCCGGGGGAACCGAATGAATACCACAAGGATACGCTGATCGATGGGGAACTGGTGGTCGATGTGATGTCCGACGGACGGAAAGAACCCAAGTTCTTGGTTTTCGATCTGCTGTGTCTTGACGGGAAAGCTGACCTCTTGTCAAAACCGCTCGACAAAAGGCTGGGCTATTGCAAGAAACACATCATGGAGCCGTACGATAAGCTCTTCAAGGAATTTCCTGACGAACTCAAGTTTCAGGCGTTCAAGGTTGAGATGAAGGATATGCAGTTCTCTTATGGCTTGCAGCTGATGTTTGAGCGGGTGCTGCCGCACCTACGGCACGAAAATGACGGACTCATTTTTACGTGTCGAGAGTCACCTTATCAGTTTGGGACGGACCCGCATATTTTGAAGTGGAAGGCGCCGCACGATAATACTATTGACTTTCGACTGAGACTAAATTTTCCGGTTGTTGAGCCCGACGAGCAGGAACGAGCCGAGGGGATCACGGAGCCGTTTGTGGACTATGATTCTGTTCC